TGTGCAGGGCGGCAGGATGCGCGGCGGCGAGCGCTCCCCGGCCACCATGGAGAACTGGTAGGAGCCGGACGAGGCGCCGTAGTAGAGGTGGTAGGGGGACGGGTTGGCCTGGAAGGGCCCGCTCTGGTTCTGCGGAGCCCCGGGGTAGGGCGGCGGGAGGTAGGTGTGGTGGAAGCGGCTGGTGGCCGGCATGCCCGCCACGCCCAGGCTGCTGATGCTTGTGCCCGAGGGCGTGGCGCTGTAGGGGAAGGCGGCAGACATGGCCCCCGGGTAGTGCATCCTGGGGTCAGGGAAGCGGCTCTCCGTGAGGGTCGGCAGCGCTGGGAAGGAGCGGTCAAACTGGCGGGGGTCGGAGAATGGGTTCAGGTCCGAGGTACCTGGGGACAGTGAGGAGGAGGGTCAGTCCCAGCCTGAGACCACTGTAGGGGGCCTCTTGATACACGAGGCCCATTCCGGGGCCTCCTGGCTCTGGAGTGGGCCCTGCCCTTCCTGCCCTGGGCTGCTCAGGGGCCAGAGCCCACCATGACTCCTAATTCAGACCCACCGAGGCAGCAGGTGGGAGCAGGTGCCCCGGCCAGAGACTGGCCAGGGGAGCCTCCCCTGGGCAGGAACAGAGGAGGGTGCTTTTCTTTCTCCACTTTAGATCCTCCTTCACAGCCTAGCAGTGGGGAGTCTGTCTAAGGTGTGAAGGTGGGAGCTAAGGTCAGGGGTCAGCATGGGCTCCCAGCAGGCTTGGCTGGGCAGTCCCCACGCTCCACTCACTGTTAAGATCTGACAAGGCCACAGGTGTGAAAGGGTCTCCAATGGCCCTGTGAGGATGGGAGTTGGACTCTGCTTTTGAAAACAAGGAAACTGAGGCAGAGAGAAAGGTTGGTTCTTCTGGCATTGCACAGACAGACCGGAACTCATCACGAGGCCTCTGCTCTCTGCTGGGGGCTCACACACCAGCCTCTCCTGCCCAGTGCTCACACCTGGGCTGTGGGTACTGTGTTCATGACAGTTCTGCCTGCCCTCCCCTCCACCTCACCCTGGGCCTGTCTCTCCATGGCCACCCTGCAGGCTGGAGCTCACTGGTAGCCACCCAGTGACCAGATGCCACCCTCACCTGCCTCAGCAGCAAAGACAGAAGCCAGAGGGCTCCCAGACCCCAACCTGGTCACAGAGAAACACAGTGTCCAGCCCAGAGCCTACCCCAGCTCCCCCAGGAGTTCAGCTCCTTGTTGGGCTCCAAGAAAAGGGTGTTCCAGCCTCTGCCCCCTTCTTTTATAATCACAGACCTCCCAAAACTTCAGCATTCAAAGGGGCTTTGGGATTGAGTATAAACTCCTTGGTGGGAAAACAAGCCCAGAGAGGGTGAGGCACTTGCCTAAGGGTCACACAGCACATGGGACGTGGCATAAAATCCTAGGGTTCTGGTCCTGAGCCCCAAAATGTGCCTGATAGATAACTGTCCCATCTTTGAGGCAGCACAGAATCAAGGTTAACTGTGTGGCCTCTTGAGCCAGTTACCCTGGTTTTGACACTTACTAGCTATGTGTCCCTGGGAAAGTCACTTAACGTCTCTCTGCATCAGTTTCCCCATATAAAAAACGGGGACCATAACAGTTTGTAAAGAATGTTAGTTAATACATGTGACATTCTTAGAATGGAGATGGGCACAAAACAGGGGCCACGAGACTGCAGCGCTGCAGTGGCTCTGATGCCTCCTGCTCTGGGTACCCAGGAGAACGGCCTGCTCAGAGCTCTGCCAAGGTGAGGCCTGACCCCGGGCCTTCCTTGTTCTCTGGTGGCACTGGGGAGGTGGATGGGAGCCCAGCGGTGGCCCAGAGGTGAAGTCTGTCTGCCACAACCCCTCTGTTCCACCCACCGAAGGATAAAGGCCAGGAGAGGCCCCAGGAAGAGACCAACCTCTGCCCCTGGCCCGGCAGGGCTGGTGCCAGCTCCTGTGGGCACTGCTCAGCATGACGGAGGCCAGGCTTAGGGCGGAGAGCCGTGGGTGCCCCCAGCCTCCTGCTTCGTCAGCTCGCCTGAGGTGCTGTGTGACCTCAGGTGAGACTTTCAACTTCTCAGGGCTTTGGTCCTCCCACGTCAGCTGGGGTGTGTTTCCCTCAGCAGCAGGTTCTGGTCATGGGTGTGGGTCAGAACAGGGTGATGCTCCAGGCTCAAGGTGGGTTTGGCTGGCTGCAGCCTTCTGGAAGATCAGGTACCCTCCTCCCTACCCGGTCACTGGGCTGCTCAGTGCTGCGTGAAGCCTACGGTGTCGGAAGTGGCTGGCAGCTGCCACTCTCACCAGGCAACCCCAGTGGGAAAAGGGCCTGTCGCAAATGCCAGCCACTCCAAGTACAGCAAGCACGAGGCTGGCCCCCTGTGCTGAGCGGAGTGAGGTGGGTGCTGCCCACCTGACGGGAACCCCATTCTCAAGACAAAGAAACCCAAACGGGAGCTCAGCATGCGACAGCAGTGCTGTAGCCCAGGGAACACAAGGCCCTGCAGTGGTGGGCTTGGGCCTAGCACGTGTGTCCCTCAGAGATGGGCCTTCCTGGACCTGCCTCTGTCCCCTCCTCCCGCCCTCTCAAGGCCTCCACCCCTCCTCCAGGGTGGCGCAGGAGGTACCTGCCTTCAACAGCTCTCACGTGTCCCCGCCCCCAGCCTCGAGCCCCGGGAAACCCGAGCTGGCCGGGCCACTGTCGAGCAGCCAATCCCAACAGTGGAAGGAAATGTTTATTTTCTTCTCCAAATTGCCCCAGCTGCTGCGTGGTGACTGAATGAACCCTTTGAGCAGTGAGAAGCCCCCATTGTGGGCAGCTGCAGCCGGGGGGCCCAGGACTGGGGTATGGAGGGGCTAGGACTGTGACACTGCTTGCCAGTGACCAATGCTGGGGGTCAAACCTATAAACAGGCACCCAGGGAAGTGGTGGTGGGGGACCCCGAGCATGGAGCCTGAAGGCAGGGGCTCATCCCATCAGAGGGAGAGCCAGTGAGAGTGACTCCCAAGCCTGGGCCTGCCAATACCCCTCAGTGGCAGGGACCTCCTCCTTCTCACTTTATAGAAGAGAAGACTGAGGCTCAGAGAGGTTCAGCGACTTGCCACAGCCAATGCCTGGCAGAGCCAGAATTCCTAGCCAGGTCCACCTGACTGCAAAGTTCATGCCCCTTCTCTGGCTCCGGTTGTCAAGGGCCCTTTCTCTCACCCCAAAGTGGACAGGCCTGGGGAGGGGGAGGCCTGGCTGGGGCAGGGGGCTTCAGAGGCTGCCTGAGGCCCAATGCTGTGGGCAGCTACGGAGGTGCTGGGGACCCTGCCTCAGGATGCAGCAGCGGCACGGCAGGACTGTGGTGGCTACCGCCCCTCAGGCTGGACCTCTTCTCCTCCCGGCCCTGGAGTGGATCAGGGGCCCTGCCTGCTGCAGGCCAGACAGGGCCCTGCTGCAGGGCTGGATGGAGGGTGGGCAGGCCTGCACTCATTCCCAAGTCGTGCCCACCCAACTGTGGCAGGGCAGCTGGGGCTCTCCTTCCATGGAGCTGGTGGACAGGAGGCCACTGTTCATCTCCACCTGCTGGATTCTGGGGCTCCTCTGGCTGGGCCCTAATACCCTGTTGGGGCCAGCTCTGCCTGGCAGATAAGGGCCTGGATGTTAAGCTACTTTACCATGACTGGGACAGCTATTAGGCAAGGAGGGGCATGAGCCCAGAGTGCAAGTTACCTCCTACCACCTCCTGAAGCCAGACCCCCACTCCATATCCCCCCACGGCTCAAGAGCTGAGTGTCTCAAGTTCACCAGCCCAGAGAAGAGGCTCAGAGAGACTGATCTGGGGCCCTGCCCTACCTTGGGGTTTCAGCAGGGCCAAGGCCCAGCTTCCTGAGCCCAGGTCAGATGGTGGGGGGAGGGGGGGAATTTCTCTTCACACTGAGGGGCTGTATCAAGTCCCCGCCACCGCATCATGGCTGGCATGCATGACAAGGGCAGGGGGGCAATGCCTCCCTTAGCAGAGATATCCTGTGGGCCCCCAGCTCAGCATGGCATTGAGAAAGAGGGACGGGAGTGGGGCAGGCAGGAGCTGGTTTGCAGGCCTGCGCTGGGCGCTCCCTGCTCTGGGCCCTCAGAAGTACAGGAAGTTGTTGGGGACAGGTGCTGTGGAGACTTTGGACCTGGTTACAGACAGAATGTGTGACCCAAGGGTGACTCTTAACCTCTTAAACCTCAGCTTGTTCATCTACCAAATGAGCCCTGATCAGGCTCTGGTGAACTGAGAAAGAACAGACACAGTGCAAGGCACCGCCAGCCCTCCGCCTCTGACCAGTCCTGCTGCCAAGCAACCTCTGCCCTTCCTGACCTGGGGGCCAGCGTGCACATGGCCTCCAGTGCCCCCAGCTCACTGACCAAGAGAACCTGGAGAACAGAAGAGAGACTCAGCATCCAACTGTTTACTGAGCACCTGCTGTGTGCCAGGCATCTACATGCTCTGGAAGACCCACCTGAGATCTAGCTGCGATTGCTCCTGCTGTATCCATCTAGGAAAGGGGGACAGAGACCCAGTCTTGGTCCTCACCCCACTTCAGCTCCTCCCTGTTTGGGAGGAGTCTCGGGGCAGGGTGACAGACCTTTCCCAGGCAATGCTATGTGCCTCTCCAGGGCTGGAACATCACTTTACAATTTACAAAGTATGTTTGAGTACAATAATGTCATTTGAACATCACGCAAGTGCTGGGCAGAGGCATCCACCACCATGCCACTTTCAGATGAGAAAGCTGAGGCTAGAGAAGGACATTTTGTGCACAGCAGGGACATGTCTGTCACAGCTCCTGGGACAAGTCATGCCCCAATTTTAGTAGGGGCACTGTGGGATTATCCCCATTTCCAGGTGAGCTCCTAGAGGCAAGGGCTGTGTCTGTTCATGCCAATGCTTGGGGCCAGGCACCATGCATGATCAATAAATGTTTGCCGAGTGAATGAATGAAGGGCCCAGCACAGAGCAGACCCTCAGGAAACATCCACAGGAGTAGCTGAGCACAGCTGCTTCTCTATGAAACAAGGGACTCCAGCAAATGACCTTTGGATGCGCTTTTGGTCTGGGGCAGATGGACTGTGTCCAGGTCCCCCACTCCCCTCTATGCACCCCTTTTGCTGTATTTCCCCTCCCCCATGCCATACCTTGAATTGGGGTCTGGGCCTGGCTGCTGAAGTGGCTTGTGGTGGTGAGTGAGCCGCGGGGGCTGGGCGTGCTCGGTGTCACCCGCATGCGCAGCCGTTCCAGGTCCCCAAAGCGGTCGGGGAACACCTTGGTCTGGTCCTCCAGCTTCTGCCGGTGCCCTGCAGAGCATGGGGAGCCCATCAGCCACTGGCTCCCCAGAGTCTCAGGGGAGACAGAAATGCCTCACTCGTCCTGAGGCCTAACTTTAGGCCTCTGCAGGGAGAACCCTGAGGTCACCACCAACCTCTTTTCTGAGGTTCTCGAAAGACTTTCTGAACAAACAACGGTTATTATGTGCTGCCTTGGGGCTGCCACGACCTCGTCCCTAAACTTCATGAGGAGAAATAATCACTCTTATGCCAGAGGTGGGGCTCAGGGGGCGCTCCAGGTCACAGAGCCAGTGAGTGGAGGAGTCAGGATTTGAACTTGCGGTTCATATCAAAGCCTGTGACCTAAATCTCTCCAACACGTTTGACGGAAGGAGAAACTGGGGCAATAACACACTGAGGTATGGGAAAGTGGCTCCGGCACACTTCCACGGGAGACCAGGAGAGAACCCAGGAGGGCTGCCCCCCCCAACCCCAGATCTGCAAGAACACGTTTGACGGAAGGAGAAACTGGGGCAATAACACACTGAGGTATGGGAAAGTGGCTCCAGCACACTTCCACGGGAGACCAGGAGAGAACCCAGGAGGGCTGCCCCCCCCAACCCCAGATCTGCAAGAACAACGGGACTGTGGCACCTCCAACCCTGAGCCAGCCTGGGACCCTCAGACACGCCTTCCCCTCCGTGGGCCTCAGACAGAAGGGGAAATTCACCAGGATGCTGGGCAGAGGTGGCTTAGGGCACTTGAGTGAGGGGCTGGACTCCCATCTCTGCCTGGAAGCTGAAGTCAGGGGACCAGTGCACGTGGCTTGGGCGTCACACCTGGAGAAAATGGCCAGCATTTCCCACTACCCCTCTGCCATGGCCCACATAGGAAAGACCCCAGTCTTGCTTCCCGGGCCCCAGGGGTGCTGGCAGGATCCAGCTGACCATGCTCCTACCCCCCTGCAGCCTGCTGAGGCCAAGGGAACGCTTCTTGAGGGACATCAAGCTTCCAGGGACCTACCCCGCCACACACACTTTTTCAACAGCTCATTGTACACTTCGCAAGAAACGCGTAAATATTTACAAACATAAAAACATTACAGATAAGGCTCTTTTGATCCGCCCTAAGCCGTGCTCCAGAAGTCCCCACTGTGACCAGTCTGGAAGTTTTTCTTTCCAGCCTTCTTTTGGTCTTACATGCACAGAAAACACAGAGCAAGTTCCCTCATGGAACTTTCTTGAATGGTCTCAGCCTGGGTGTTTCATTCTGTAACTTGCTCTTCTAGTAGCACACCTTGGAGCTCGACCTCAGGTACTTTAACTGTAAAGCGGGGAGACTAACCCAGCCCCATAGACATGACAGAGTTCCCATAAAACCTGGGGAACCCTCCCTGGAACAGTGAGGGCACCACAGGTGTGACACTACACAGCCGTGCCATCGATGTCCCTCATTCTCACTTGTCACATCCACTGTGCAGTTCACTCTGCTGTTCCCCTCAATGGACACCTGGGTCATTTTCAAATTTCCTCTACAGTTCCCTGACATGCAACACTCTCAGGAATGTCCCTGCTCACACCTCCAGGGCTTCTCCAGGGCAGACACTAGAAATGGACGACTCTTTGGAGCCACACATCCTTGGGTCCTATTGATCAGCCTAACAGTGTCACAGCCGCTGGCATTCTGCCTCTCATGACCCCCTTGAGGGAGCAGCCAGGGAGGCAGGGTGGCCAGGCCCTCTTGCACAAACAAGAGAACTGGGATCAGAGAGGCAGAAGGCTCGCCCAAGGTCACACAGTGAGGAATGGGGTGGGAATTCCTGGACCCGGTCCCCCTTAGAAAAGACACGTGGGAAAGGGGCTAAGTGAGAGAAGGTTTGCTTGAGTCCTTGGGTCTGGTGTGACATGGAATTTTCCATATTGGCAGAGAAGAGGAGAGAAGGACGTGGGAGCCAAAACAGAACTCCTCACTGTCCTTCCAGGGACCTGAACGAGTGATCTGTGGGGGACTGGAAAAATGTCAATAGACTGTTGACTGCTGCTGGGAATGAGGGAACAGAGAGAGTCGGGGCCTCGGAAAATAGGGACACAATGGATGCTGGTACCTGCAGATCCCGAGCTCCCCACGTGCCACCACCATGAGCTCAAATGGGAATCTGAGAGCCTGAGAAATGGAGTGTGAAGTCCTGGGGGCCACAATGGGCTCAGCAAGTCACTGAGAAACGGAACCCCACTTTCTCCTCGGAAGAGATCCCAAGCCAAGAACCCATGGGACATGCAGCAACAGGAATGAGACCATGTGGCCTCCAGCCATGCCCTCCCGTGGCTGCCTCCCAGGACCTTTGGCAACAAAGGGGAAAACGTGGGCTGGGGGTGAGTTTTGTAGGAGCTGGGGCTGCAAACCCGGATGCCTGTGGGGGCTGGGCAAGTCACGTAAATGAGGCAAGCAGGATGGGTGGGGTCTGGGGCACAAGTGAGAGGGTGTGCCTTATAGAAGGGCCTTGACTGGTGCCCTGATGAGGGTGGGCCCAGTGTGGCCAGAGCTTCCAATTCCAGGTTTAGGACTCTCCTGACAGGCCTTGGAGGAAATGTTGTTGTCCGTGCTGCTGAGGCCACTGGAAATGGTAGGGTGATGGGGATGAGCTGGGGGACGAATGAATTCAGAACAATCTCAACAGGCAGGAAGCCTGCCGGATGGACGTGGAGACCGCACACTGACCTGGCAGCAGCTTGGGTGCAAAGGATCCGGGTGTCTTAGTCAACCACAAGCTTAAAGTGAGCCAATGGGGCTACACAAAAGCTGGTGCAAAACCTCAGGCCTTGTTATCGTCGTCATTGGTGAATAAAGTCCCCAGTTTCTGAGTCACACCGTGTACAGAGAGTGTTTACAGTTAACACTGGGGCCTGGCGGAAGGAGGGCGGGGTTCACAGCCTGCCTGGGTTCGAGGATGGGCCCTGCCACTGGCAGCTTGGTGGCCTCATGCAAGTTACACTCCCTTCCCCACACCCCAGGCTGCAGTGTCCCCATCATGCTGCCCCCAGGGGTTGAGGTGGCCCAACAAAGTCTGTGGACGCTCTCCACCCACATGGGTCATGCTGTCATGGCCATCACTTCCACCCGTGTTGTGCCCAAGGGAGGCAGGACTGTCACCCCCACGTTAAAGACCAGGACACGGGGGCTGGGATGGTGAAGTGGTGCCCAGAACACAGCCGGCATTTGCACTCTGATCCCCGACTCTGTGTCCAGTGCTCTTTCTCCTGACACTTTCCTTTTTGCTCTTCTTGTTCAGATGGGTCACTGAAGTTTCAGGATGAGCCTACACTACGTGGCTGGTCTGGGCCTCCAGCTATGAATCTGGTAACCTGGCCCCAGAGCACACGGTCCCACCATATGCTGTTTTGCCTTCATGTACGGTAGGCTTCCTGGAGGAGGGGAGTTTTAAGAGCACTCAGGAATTCTTCCTTGTTGCTGTGGAACACTGGAGCCACTACTAGGGAGGGGCGAGGGGGAGCCAGGTCAGCCCCACGTGGCCAGGGCGCCAGAGAGTCTCAGAGCCACGGGGCCAGGGCCTTCACACTGGGAGCAGAACGGAAGTTCCTGTGCCCGAGGAAAGAAGATGAGCCCGCAGAAAAGGCCTCTTTCATTCGGTTACCCACAGTGGGAGCTGGGTGGGGAGCTCTGGCCCTACCCCACTTAGTCACCTGGGGCCCAGCCCTTCTGTGATCTGTGCCTCGGTTTCTCCTGTGCACAGGCTGCTTGCTGGGGCTCCCTCCCTCTGACTGTCCCTGATGTAAGACTGCAAGGATCAGGCACTGGTCAGACTGAGACCCCCAAATGAGAAAAGGCTGGGCTGCTTGCTCCAGGGCCTGCCCCACCACCTCTTCCTGCTGCTGTTGTTCTCAGTGTTTCTCACATGTTCTCTGCCCCCACACTTCAGAGCCTCAGCTCAGGACAGCCTCTGCTAGGAGTGCATTCCTGACCTAGGAGACCCAACCCAAGAGCACCTCCTACAGGATGCCCCTTATCCCACCTCTGGTCTCCCATGGCATCTCTGCAGGCTAAGACCTAAAAGCAGTAGCTAGCAAGAGCAGAAATAATAAAAACAGCAGCTGCCACTTTCTGAGCTCTTTGTCCATTCACTGTCTAAGCAGCTGACATGTGCTGCTTTGTTTCCCCTTGTAATATCCCCACAAGGCAGGTCTACCACTGTCCCGATTTTACAGGTGAGAAAACTGAGGCTCAACCAGTGACAAGCTCAAGGTCACACAGAAGGTGCCTGGCTACCTGCTTTCCTTGGAGCCCATCTCTCAGGAAAGGAGCCTGGGTTTTGAAAATTAGGGGCTTGATAATGGGTGTTGGGGCCAGCCCAGACCCAGGGCAGAGCTGCTCTCTGCAGGTCCAGGAAGATGGGCCTGGGGAGAGGAAGATGAGAGGGTCTCAGTGGATTCCTCAAGGTGCCCTTCCCTGCTCTGAAGCTCAGGGTTGAGTCCAACTCTCTGATCACACCAAGTAAGTCCCTCTTGTCCTCTGGGCCTCAGTTTCCACATCTGTAAAGTGGTTATCATACTGTCTAACCCTGGATGGTGTGAGTCCAACTCTCTGATCACACCAAGTAAGTCCCTCTTGTCCTCTGGGCCTCAGTTTCCACGTCTGTAAAGTGGTTATCATACTGTCTAACCCTGGATGGTGTGGATGAGCTGGAGGACAGATCACAAGTTTTTAGAAGTAGAGTGCCTTGTGGGAAGATGGGGAACGCCTGGGGAAAGCCCCACCTTGGCCTGGGGCGTGGGCTCAGATCACAAACAACTCTCCCAGCCTGGCCCTCCCAAGGGCCCAGGAGACCCAGGCCCACATCAGGCAGCTCCCGGAAAGCCCCACCTTGGCCTGGGGCGTGGGCTCAGATCACAAACAACTCTCCCAGCCTGGCCTTGAGTAGACCCATGATCCCATTTATGGGAGGGCAGATCCCAGCCTGCCCCTCCCAAGGGCCCAGGAGACCCAGGCCCACATCAGGCAGCTCCTGCCCACTG